CTCCGCCTAGCCACGCCCACCCGGGGCCCAGAGCGCCGTGGCCACGCCCATCTGCGGCGCGGAGGGCGGTGGGCACGCCCACTCCCGGCCCGTGGCCACGCCCTCCCACCGCTCTCGCCCCCTGCGCCGTGTTGTGCCGGGACATGTGGCCCTGGGGACAGGTCCATGGGTGGGGACATGGGGCATGGGGGGACACATCCATGCCAGGACGGTGACGTGTGGCATGGTGGGATGTGTCCATGGGTGGTGACACGTGGCCTTGGGGACATGTCCATGCTAGGATGGTGAGATGTGGCCCTGGGGACATGTCCATGCCAGGACAGTGACATCTGGCATGGGAGGACGTGTCCATGGATGGTGACGTGTGGCATGGTGGGATGTGTCCATGGATGGTGGCCTTGGGGACATGTCCATGCCAGGATGGTGAGATGTGGCCCTGCGGACATGTCCATGGGTGGTGACAGGTGATCTTGGGGACACGTCCATGCCAGGAAGGTGACATCTAGTGTGGGAGGACATGTCCATAGACGGTGACATGTGGCATGGTGGGACATGTCCATGCCAGGATGGTGACATGTGACTCAGGGTACATGTCCATGGGTGGTGACATGTGGCCTTGGGGACATGTCCATGCCAGGATGGTGACATGTGGCCCTGGGGGCATGACCATGAATGGTGACACGGCCCAGGGGACACGTCCATCCCAGGATGGTGACATGTGGCATGGAGGCATGGAGGGACATGTCCATGTCAGGACTGTGACATCTTCTCCAGGAGGATGTGACCATACTGGGATGGTGACACGTGCACAGAGGGACACGTCCATGCCATGAGGTGGCACATGACCAAGGAGGACACATCCCCACCAGCCTAAACACCCCACCCCGTCCGCCCCCACACCACCACGACACTGTCCCCTGCGTGCCACCATTTATTTACCGCTCCTCCCTCAGGTGGGACATGCACCACACAAGGTGTGCCCTCATGTCCCCATGTCCCTCAGGCCACCTCCGGCAGCCCCTCCAGCAGCAGCCAGAGCCCGTCCTCGGCACGGAGGATGAGCTCGGTCTTGCGGCGTGGTGGCCGCTCTGCGTCCAGCCGGATGGTGAAGCGTGCCACCGTCAACGCCGCCACCACCTTCAGCTCAGCCATGGCGAAGCTCTGCCCGATGCAGTTCCTGCCACCGCGTTTCCCTTCTGTCACCTCCGTGGGGGGGACATGGGGGACAGGACACCCAACCACCACCGGCTGGGTGGTGGAGCAGATGGTGGAACCTCCCCAAAACCTGGGGATGGCTTTGTCCCCGTGATGCCCAAATGTCACAGTTGGAGGACAACCACTCCACCTTGAACCCAACCAGGCTGAGGGGTGGCACATGGGGACACTCGTGTCCCTGTCATTGCTTACCTGGGACCAGCAGAGAAGGGGATGAAGGCCAACGGGGACTGGTCCTGGCTGTTCTCCGGGCTGAACCTCAGTGGGTTGTAGACCTGGGGTGACATGGACACCGTCACACCGCAGGGACACGATTGTCCCTGCTCATGGTGACAGGGACATCCCGTTGTCCCATGGTCCTGCCACCAAGGCCAAGTGGCTCTACCTGGGGCTCAGGCCAGATGTCTGGGTTATGGTGGGTCCCGTAGATGCTCATCAGGCAGATGATCCCTGGTGGGACAGAAATGGCCACCTTAGGGACAGGGGACAAGGAGGGACGGTGACTTTGGGAACACCTTGCACCCCAGGCAAGCCGTACCCTTGGGGATGACGCGTCCATCACGCAGGGTGATGTCCTCGGTGCAGCGCCGGGACACGGCCGTGACAGGAGGGTGCAGGCGGAGGCTCTCCTTGATGCACATGGTGGTGAAGGGCAGGTTGGACAGGTCCTCCCTGAGGGCAAGGGATGGTGGCACCAGGGTCCCCAAGCCAGGTGGCCAGGAGGTGACACTGGGGACCTCTCACCATTCGATCTCCTCCACGTCCCTGCCCTTGAGGAGCTCGCGGACCTCCTGGCGGCACCGTTCCTGGTAGTGAGGGTGCCGGGCCAGGTTGTAGAGCAGCCACGCCAAGCCACTGGCCGTCGTGTCGTGGCCTGCAGGGACAAGGGGTGAGCAAGGGGACATGTGAGTCCCCCCCTCCGGTGGCACCTGGTGGCTCGTTCTCACCCTCAAACATGAAGGTGTCAGCCTCGGCTGAGATGTCCTCATCTGACAGGGTGTTGCCGTCCTCGTCCTGCAAGGGTGAGTGTGGCAGCCAAGTGACCCCCGGGGCCACCAGTCTATGGCCAACCCTCCTCGTGGCCACCACCATTCCCCTATGGCCACCAACCTGTGGCCAACCTTTCCCATGGTCAGCATTATTCCCCCGATCACCACCATGCCACTATGGCCACAACCCTGTGGCCAACCTTCCCCATGGTCCCCACCATCTCCATGGCGCCCACCATCCCCTTGGCCACCACCGTCCCCCTAAGGCCACTACTGTGTGGCCAACCTTTCCCATGGCCACCACCATCCCCTTGATCATCACCATCTCCCTATGGCCACCACATTACGGCCAACCTTCCCCATGGTTCCCACCATCCTCTTGGCCACCACCATCCCACTATGACCACCACCATTCCATTGGCCACCAACATCTTCCTACGGCCACCACTCTGTGGCCAACCTTCCCCATGGTCCCCACCATCCCCTTGGCCACAACCATCCCTCTACGGCCACCACCCTATGGCCAACCTTTCCCATGGTCACCACCATCCCCTTGGCCACCACCATGCCACCATGGCCACCACCATCCCCTTGGCCAGCACCTTGCCACTATGGCGACAACCCTACGGCCAACCCTCCCCGTGACCACACCGTCTCACCCCAATGGTACCTTAGAGAGCAGGAGAAGGTCGATGAAGTCCATCCTCCGTCCCTGGTGGCTCTCCAGCCAGGCCTGGTGGCCAAGGCGGTCAAGGGCCTGGCGCCGGCACTGCACCACGTTGGCGGTGAAGCTGTGTACGGTGGCGCAGGCTTGGGCGAAGCGGCGTCCGTCGGCCGAGAGACGGTAGAGCCACGATGAGAGGTGGAGCGGATGGTGATGGCGTCTCACCACCAAGGTGCTCAGCTCCAGGATGGCCTTGATGTACTCACTGGGCTGCCTGTGGGGCATCGGAGACCTCTGGGGACGGTCACCATGGGCCACTGGGGACGGCCACTGTGGGCATCTGGGGATGGCCACCCCCTTGGCCACAGTGAGCGCCGACGGGGACATGGGGTGGCAGCAGGACCCCTGCCCGTGAGGACATGCGGGGCCAAGCTGGGGTGACAACAGAGGGGGATCCTCAGGAGGGGACAGAGCTGGGACAAGAAGGGACCTTGATGGGTGCAAAGCCAGGTGGGACCCCAGCTGGAGACCGAGGCAGGGCAAGAGGGGACCCCAGTGTGTGCAAAGTCAGGGAGGACCCCAGGGGGGACAGAGTTGGGGTGGGGGGACCTAGAGGGGTTCACTGTTGGGATGGTGGAGACCTTGATGGGTGCAGACCCCAGGGGGAACCCCAGCTGGGGCCCAAATGTGGCAGAGGGGACCTCAGGAGCGGACAGAGCTGGGACAAGGAGGGACAGAACTGGGGTGGGGGGACCCAGAGGGGTTCAGTGTTGGGATGGTGGGGACCTTGATGGCTGCAAAGTCCAGGGAGGACCCCAGCTGGGGACCGAGCCAGGGTAAGGAGGGACCCTAATGGGTGCAAAGCCAAGGGGGACCCCAGGAGGGGACAGAGTTGGGGTGGGGGGAGCTTGGTGGAGGACAATGTTGGGAAGGTGGGGACCTTGATGGGTGGAGACCCCAGGGGGGACCCCAGCTGGGGCCTAAATGTGGCAGAGGGGACCCAAGGAGCGGACAGAGCTGGGACAAGGGGGGACCCCAATGGGTGTAAAGA